GGGGGGGGGGGGGCACAAAAATGAACAGTTGACTGTGCAGTGGACCGCAGTGAGTTTCCAAAATTCTTCTTCTTGTAATCGCTTTCGTCTTTGCTTTTCACACGTCGTACTTGCCTCCCGTTTACAGCTCCTTTTCTATCGGAAATTCCGAGCAGAAGCCAGCGTTTCGAGTACCTTCCCTGCTTCCATCAACAGGGATGTCTTTTATGATTTAATTTTGTCCCTCATACTTTTCCGCTGAACGTGACATTGAAAGTAGTTTATTACAGAAGCGAAGAAGCTATTTCTTCAGTAAACTGTGGACGTCGCGGGTACAAACACCAAAATAATTTCGGACGCAATGTGTCGCCAATTAAACCAGCTTTCGGCCCTCCGTCCTGGCGGATTCCGCGCGTTTGTTGCAGTTTCTGGCCGCAAGCAATGAATCTTAGCCCGTTTAGTGTTCACAGAGAACTTAAGTCTGCCACAAAAAATCCGCGATTCGCGGGGACGAATTTTAATTAATAATGCTGGCTGCTGATTGTTTCGACTTCATTTAATGACGGCCAATCTGTTCACAAGGGCCTTTGCCGCTGATCCCAGCGTGTCACGTGGCTTGCATTCTGCATTTTTATTTATTTACTTGTTTCATTCTAGAGTATAAAAGAAACAAGCCCCTTCAGAGTAGCTAATGCAAGAAATATCAACACCTGAGCCAATTCAGTCCAGTCTACGCGCTGTTAATTTATATGCATTTCAGTGTTATTGCCCCATCTATGTCAAGGGGCCCCTTTTCCTCCGTCTGTAAGAATTTCCCAGCCTCCGTGCGTGCTACATGCACTCGTGGGTGTGTGAGCGCTCAAATGAGAGCTGTGTTCACCGATCACTGGCTCTCGTCAGCTCAGTTCTATTTAGTTAATTCTTCCCCCCTTCCTCCAGCCACGTCGTGACGCTCGACGTCGGAATGTGCTGTCCTGGCGTCTTGCCACGGAATTTCTTCAGAACTCTTCCCTGGTGACTCACTTGTACAACTACCCCCCCCCCCCCTCCCTCTGCTAAGAGAGGAACAGTTTTAAGCAAAAAGCAACGTTGCTTTACGTGACGTAGACATGTGTTCAGTTTAGTCTCCGGTGACTGGCGCACGGATGCAGGAGGCCTAAGTGTGTTCTAAGTCGGTACGAACTTCACTTCCTTCTCTCTTCGAATAAAGCGGCGTTTGCGTGCGTTCACTCGACTTTTCTTACTCTAACCTTTATTCACAAGTTTGCTTTGTCTCGTCGTTCCGTATGAGCGTGGAATTAGGGCTCTCGCATTGAGGAAAGGTCGCAGATTGTTGATCACGTGGTTCAGGGGGTACAGGCTTTCGTTTGGTGAAGAGTTGTGTTTTCTTTGCGGTACGCACTGAATCCTGAAATATAATTTTGACCATTTTCGCATCAAACGCTTGATTGAAACTTCCTCTAGGCCTTTCGTAAAATCGAGTAATTTAATTCAGCGTGCTTTTGTGTCAAAAGCTCTGGGCCGTGTCCAGCGACAGTCATCACTCAGTTCAAAGCAGTCACGAAATGTGTTCGGTGCTGCTGCTTGAAGGACCTCTTCGCTGTCTTTACCCATCGGCAGTCTGTCCGTCGAACTCTCTTCTTTTGTTCATCATCTTTCTCCGTCCTTCGTTAGTTTTCGGGCGCTCCTTCCCGGATTTCTCTCCGTGTCTCCTGAAGGGAATCCGAAATTCCAATTGTGGAATGTTATTTTCTCATGGGCGTCAGGTCTTGACCGAGACAGGCTGTTCTGACTTACGTTTCTCGTGGTTTTCTTAAATCCCGGAATAATACTTGAAATTAGGTCAGCTTCCTTTGCAGGTAATTAGTCATTAATCATTTTTTGTCTGAGCTAATGAAAGCGTCTCCAAGGTTTCCGACGTAGTTGATTTATTACACGCATTTTAGAACAGAATTGAACGTTGTCCACTGTCCGACGCGTATTTTGTATAAACGACGTTGCGGAAGATGGCCGGGCGCTGTCGTCATCGTAGTGAGAGATTTGTTATTATTCTTTCTACTTTTATATTAGTAGCGGCGTCTGGGATCGAACCCATGGCCTTTTGAATGCTGTGCTGGTAGGCTACAGCGCTCTTACCTGTTTTCGTCCGGTTCTCTCTGGTTGCTACGCGACCATAAACGATGTAAGTCCACGGCTGATCGTTGCATGGCAACCGTGTATTGTATTAAGCGATCAATATGCGAACCCACGGCGTCAGACAACGAAGCAGTGGTCAAGAGGACCGCGTTCTCTTAAGTCCGTTGTAATAGCACTTCATCTGATGAACTTGGGATGCTGGAGCCCAGACGACGTTTCGGGCTCACCGTCCAGTGAGAGACGCTTGAAAGGCGGGTGACCGCGTCGGGATAATCTTTAACTGATTCCAAGACCGATTGAAGACGTGCAAATTTCGTTTCTCTGTTTTTCTCACGAGCGCGCGTTTCTGAATGTCATCGAATCAGTTGAAATATAAGTAAGTGACAGGTTTACATGCAATTGAAATTGGGACGTGTGGATAGGTGACACCCTGCACTTGTTGTTGCTGGTTGCAGACTCGTCCCCGATTTTCTCCGACCCCTGGCACTCCCACTACCAGCAGTACAGCGCCGCGGCGGCCCACCACCACCACAGGTAGCCGAACATTCCACTCTGCATGCAGACGTCATGACGTCATCGTATGATTGTGGTCACCAGCTGGTTGGCAGCTTTTGTTCCATCGATGTCATGACTTGGGCCCTTCTTGCTGGGGACCGGAGATATAATCCGTAATCAAAACTTCGCACATTTTTAATCCTCTTTCTAAATAATTTACTTTGCTCTGAATAAATCTTTCGTGGGTGCAAACGCACGATCAGAGTTTCTTTCATTCGCTGTTGGGCAATTCGAGATGAAATTGTTGTAATCCGTAAGTAACTAACTGTGCGGAGTTGAGTCCTTTTCGAGAAGCTAACAGTCACTTAACTGATCAGGAAATTTCCCGCCTTTTGTTTTCGCAACAGCCTGCCACGGGTTCCTCTCCAGAGCCAGATGAATCCAATCCACAGCTTCCAAACTCATTTCGCCAAAATCCATTTCGATATTGTTCTACTGTGTACGCCACTCGCCTTCATGGCGTGGTTCTTAAATCGTTGCCAGAGGTTGTCGCGTTCATACGCGAAGCTGCCACGGCGATCAGAATCAATTAAGTCGGGATCTTCAGCCTCCTGGAGCAACTCCGAAGTTTGGCACGCAGATTTCGTCATTAACTTTACTTCGCCTTGGGTTATAATAATGCAGCCTTAATACACAAATAGAAAGGTCGCACGCTGTTTGCATCGGAATTGTTCACCTCAGACGAGGAACATTACAGAGGCCAGCAAATACCTGTTAATGGAATGCAGTAGCAGGCCGAGGTGCGCGAATTTCCCGTGAGAACTGCGATCCACGTACCACGGCCGATCGTCGCCGTCTCTTCTCAGAAATTCTCTTCTTAAGCCTCGCCTAAAACCTTCCGTAATTGTGAGGTTTTTTGAACCCAAGTTTTGTACTGCGACATCGTTACTGAGCATGCTCCGTTACAGCGTCGCTGCGTTTCGCTGCTTCAGAACCTTCTTCAGGAACGGCACGGTGAAGGTCATGTGGTATACGCACTCGCCGACACGTGGGCTACAGATCGCGCGAGGGATCAGAAAACCGAGACGTGGCTCAGGCGTGAGGATGATATTAAAATTGTCTTAAAGCAATACGACGTGAGAGCGTGGGTTGGGTTCAGCTGGCTCATGATGAGTCGAGTAACGCGTTTTGTGAACACGGTAGGCAACGTTCGCCCTCCATATGGAGTGGGGAATTTCTTGATCAGCTGAGCGACTGTTAGTTTTTCAAGCTGGGCTATACTTTGTGGAGTTCATTTTTATAAGACGCCCTCGCCTTTCGCGGAGCTACGTCTTTGAAAGCTCCGCGAACCGAAAAACCGCATTGAGCGAAGTTAAGAGCTTATGGGAAGGACGGGGTTAGGTGATGTTCATTCAGAATCACACTCGACGTGGCTCGACGTCGACGTAGCCAGGGAGACAGGCGGACAGCCACGGCTGACTAATTTAGGGAGATCTCGACATCTGGGAGATCTCGACACTTTTAACAAATTTCACTCTAGCGACAGCTGCATTGTAGTGGCAAAGACTGTAATTGTACAGAAGATAGCCTACCATACTGCGATCAACGTGCAACTTCAAAGGAGTCTGTTTTTGCAAGTCTCAACCTCGTACGGAACCCTCAAAGACGACCAGGTGAGTTTTACATACCCTAAATAGCACATGCTATAATAATTACATTCCAGATAATGATAATTACACTGGATGCACATGGAATTTATGGATTAATAGTTATTGTGGTGACAACTCGCACTTTCTAAAGGACAGCCATGCTATGTGAACTGACAAAAACTTCAACTGTGACCAGTGGTGACATGTGTATTGTAGTGACATGTGTATTGTAGTCGACATTTTGCTTCTATTTCTTTTTTTTGTTAATTGCACTGTTTCCCTTAAACTTACCTGCTTTATTATTGTAGTACAAATAAAACATATCTCCATGGATAATATATGAAAATTTCTGTTTTTAATTTTCAAAAAATATTCCTGAAACCTAGAGTTCTTTCTTAAGGTGTCGAGATATCCCTAAATTACCCTAC